GGTTTTCACTGGAAGTCAAATTACCTTGGGTGGGGTTTTTTGTACACTCGCAGAGCCAAAACTGTTAGCTTTTTATATTTCACAGAAAAAAAAAATAAAATATTTTCAAAATTAAGCTATTTTTTAAAAATCACCGAGATTTAAAAAATAAATTGGCTTTTCTATTCATAACTGAAATGTGCTTATTCACATACATGCATGCCTATATGAGTGTGCCTATATGATAAGTATTACTATTTGAGAGAGACAGAAGAGAGAGAGAAAGGGAGAGAGAGATAACAGCATGCCTTTGGTAGTCATTACTTCTCCATTACTTCTTCTTTGAATAGGCATCACTTTTTACTCCTGAAATTCTAAATTTAGTCAGGGAGCCTCAAATTTCATTAAATCTCAAGTTTCTATTTTGGCATGAGGAAAACCAAATCGTGAACTAAACAATTTCTTTGGATACATCTCACCAAAGCAAGAGCTGTGGATCTGTGAAACCAGTAAGTGACTTGGTTGTTTTCTACTCTTCCAGCTACAAGATTCTCTAACTCTGTTATCTTTTCAATTCCTTTATGTTTTGAGTCCAGGGAGGGAGGAGGGGGTTTGCAATTAAAATCGGCACAGGTCACTGCGTTGAGATGAAAGACGTTGAAGGCAGGCACCTGCCCGGGTGTTGGCGTGGAGATGGATGATGAATTGAACACTGCCACCTTTTGGCTGTGGCCACGGCCAGGGAGTTGCGATGAGGCTATTTTTGCCAGACTTCCTTCTAGAGCGGGCTGGGCATCTGGCAAAAGCACCCTTTCGTGCCAACCCAACGTTGGCTGCACTTCGTAGCACAGCCCAGGTTAGCACACACCGTGTTGCCATCACGTATCTTAGATTTCGCCCCTTATCGGCGAGGTCCTCGGAACTGAGAAGATGGGCTAATAATACGAAGAGCTGTTAGCTTTACTAAAGACTAAATGCAATCAAGTTGATGTAAACAGTCACTTCAGCCTGACTGTGGTACACTCTTCCTGCCTCAGGAATACTTGAGAGTATCTCGCATTGTGTTGTGCTGAAATAGTGTTTTCTCAAGCGGTGAATTATATACAGTTTGTACTTCAACCTCTTTTGAGCACTTAGCTGTGAATGTTTGTATCAGTGCCAGTGAGTGTGAGGTGATCTCATTAGAAAGAGAAAGAAAATACTATCAGCCACAGAATAATTTCACGGTGATTAAATGACAAGCTCTTATTCGCGTTAGTTCTGCAGTTCTTACACAGGTGTAACAAAAAAAAAAAAAAAAAAAAAAAAAAAAAAAAAAACACCACCACGAAACATTTGCTTTTAAGAGCCCAGTGTCTGCCCTGCCGCCCCGGCGTGCGTCGCTGCCCGAGGCTGCCCGAGGTGCAGAGCGGTGGCTCGGTGCCTCCTCGAGGTACGATCGCCGCGTGTTCTCCCCACGCAAACCTCACCCACACAAAGGTGTGGGCCCTCGCCTCACACTCCCTCCTGCCCCCGTTGTACTACAGGGGCAAAACCCCGTTTGCTCAGCGGCTGAAGAGCTCCGGGAGGAATGTCCGGCCCCGGTGACCTTAACGGGGCCGGGCTTTCACCTCCACTTTTTCGCCGAACTCTTCACCTTTGTGAACCTAAAATGCACGGCTCCGAGGGGAGATGCAGGTGGAAGGGCATTCCCCGTGCAAACACCGGGCGCTTCCCTAAGCCCAGCGCGGCCTGGCTGGCGTCCCACCGCCCTGCGGCGGCGCGCGTTGCCCGGCAACGGGGAGCCCCGGCCCGCCCGCTCGCCCTGGGGCGCGGCGGCGCCCGGCCGGCGGGAGGGGCGCGGGCTCCGCTCCGGCTGCCGAGCGAGCCGCGCCGGGCCGGGCGCTGTCCCGGTGGGAGCGGCGAAGAGCCGCAGCACCCGCGCCCTCGGGGCGGCTATCGGCCACCGCCGGCCGTTCCCAGCCTCCCCGGCAAGCTGCTCGGCCCCGGCCGGGCGGGGCGGGCGCGCTCCTCCCGCGGCCGTGCGTGCGAGCTGGGCGGCGGGCCCGGCCGCCGCGGAGGGGTCCTGGACTCCGTCCATGGGCTGGTGTGCGAGGAGGGAAGACAAAGCCCCCTGGCTCCCCTGCCCCTCCTTGGCAGAGCCCAATGCCCCGCTGCTTCCATTTGTTTTTGATCTGCCTCATTAAAAGACTATTGATGGCTTTAACTATTGTCCTTGTTTAGGTGCTGATTTACAAGCGCTAATATCTGACTGTGCCGAGATTAATGGGAGCCCGTGAAGTTTACAATTATCCGCAGGTCCCTTGACCACACATGGAGGGGTTTGGGTTGGGGTCACGCACTCATGAAAAACTCCAAAGCAGGCTTAAACCTGGGAACATTTTAATAGGATTGAATTTGTAATAGGATTTGGCTGCTTGGCCTAAACTATAGGATAGGAGGGTTTGCTCTGGCTTATTTTGGAGTTGAGTTTTGGGGTTCTTTAACCTGGTGTCATTACTATGGCACAACAAGGTGCGGGTTTCAACATTGTAGATTTGGGGTTTATTTTTTGTGAAAACCTAAGCACAAATATCTTTGATATGGAATATTAAAACAAGGATCCCTCTATCTGTACATACAGCATATATAGCATATATGTGATAGGCTCCAACACTATGTATTATTTGATGCATATCTGTATGCTTTATGTGAGCTTCAAGGTGCTGAAATTATTGACAACATATATGGCATCAATTAAAAAATACAAATGTGTTACTTAACTGGAGCAAGAGTTCTGTTGAATAGCAAAACATTCCCATGCCAACTCTTGCCTTACTCAAAAAAAGCCACATTAGGAAATAGTAACTGTGCAGTAAATTAGATTTGTTGAAAGTAGTGCTAGAAATTGAGGGGAAGTTATATGGGAAGGTGGGAGAGAAGCTGAAAATGAATCATTTGAGCAATTAGTTCTCACAAGTTGACAGCAGCGAATTTCAGTTGGTGCCACTGGCTCCTATGGCTGTTCATTCATTTACATCACTTTGTGCTAGGCAATAGTGCTGGTACACTTCTTATTATGCTTAGACTGCTGCAAAACAGTATCTTATGAATCCCCTCATTATTAGGCACCCTCATTTAGTAGTTCTGGGCTTGTGGCTTACTGGGGCTTTTCGTAGGGTCTTGGTTTTTTTTTAGTAACACAGCAAAACTAGAAATACATCATACTTGTCCTCAGGGTCATGAAAGCACTTCCTTTCAGGATATAAACTGGAAACCCTACAGCACCAAGAGAGGTACAGTGGTTAGAAGGTGTCATGAAAAAATAATGGGAAGCTAATACAGATACAGTTTGCTTGGTTTCAAAAGTTCTAATATTGCCAACTTTAGGGAAATGTGAGCTTATGAGAAAACAGCAGCAGGAAATCCTGCACTAATGTATGTCCCATGAAATCTCAGAAAATACCATTGGTCTTGCTGGAGTAGAATCAGGCAAAAGATGGGCAGAGTTTCCCTCTATTTAGAGCCTTGAAGCTCAATTTTTTTGAAGTTAAGACTGATGGAAGAAAGTCCTTTTTCAGGGGTCTGTATGTGTGTATTCTAACTGCCCAGTCCTTTGCACTATTGTAGTTCCACATGCTGTGCATCTTTCCTGTCCTTATAAAATCAAGGACTTGAATAATATTCTGTGGCAAGGCTGTGGGTGTCTGGCTCCCCTAGCCAGATTTTTTCATTTCTATAGCATTCTGTAACTGCTCCTTGGAAATTCTGAGACAAAACAAGCAAACAAAAATAATATTTCTAATTAATTTAAGTATAATAATTATTCCAAAGGCTTTGTTATTATTCCATAGCTCTGTTATTTGCTAACTTTATTCTATGGTTGATTTTCAACAGCAACTATTCATAACGGCAGTGAGGGATTTGAAAATATATTGGATATAAGGGTTTCCTGATAAGTGAGTGGGCATTGTGTTTTGCAGAGTAACCATTCCAGACACCATATAGCTATAGCTGTATTAGGAGGATTAACAGCCGAAGTAATTATGATTTGAAATGTGCATCATCTCTTTTAGCCTTCAGGAGTAAAATGTGGAAATGAGTGGGACAGTCCTCACCTCCCTAAGAAATGTTGTTTTATGCTATTTGCAGGTCCAAGAAGACAAATGTGCTTCAGCTGAAGTTATATTGGAAGGTTTAAAAATCTCATCAGGACTAATTATATTTTGAGTATTTTCAAGGAAACCTTGTGGAATCATAATTTTGAAGCTACTCTGAATCTTGTGGCAAATTCAGTGGCCATGACTCTACAAGAGACATGTAGCCAGTGTATAATGAAATTTTGAGACTGTTTTAACCAGGAAAAATGTTTTCTGCCCCGCTATTTTCTTTGAACTCAGATTATGCTGTCTCATTAGCAGTTCCTCACTGTCTGACTGAAGTAGGAATCTGGATGAAAATGAACTGACAGTGACTTAATCTAAACAAGCAGGACATGGTAATTGCTCACAGAGAAAAGTACTTTAAAACAGTTAGTAAAAGCCTGTGGAGTAGGAAAGGAGAAGTGGAGCTGGGGGGAGGTGTTGCTCCTGAGCTAAACAGGTAGGGCTGACTGCTGGTTTGGTGCTGTGCTAGATACAGAGATAAGGCTTTTTCTAACATCAACTGGAGCTTAAGGCTGAAGCCCTTCAGGCTGCCCAGTGCTCTCTTCTCTATTTCTTCCCCCTCCCTTTATTGATAAGAAGCTCTTACACTTGCAGCAGCACCACTGGTGCTTCATTCTGGAGCAGGCCAGGACATAATGCACCCTACACTGGGACAGTGAGGCCAGGTGTACATGCTTCCATTGCTTCGTAAATGTGTAGCTCCGCAGACACTTCACATTTGCTAAAGCCAGCACTGCCACCAGAAGAATCAGTCCTGCCTGCCCCTGTTCCCAAGTAAGCTTTTCCATCCATCCTCTTCCTTTCATGCTCATGCACTATCATACCAGCAGGCACAGGTCAAAACACCTCTGATGATTGACTTTGGTAACCTACCCCATGGAAAAGTGTGGAGTGGAAGTAGAAATCCCCACCGTCATCGCCACAGTCAGTCCCCTGAGCCAGCTGCCTGCGGGGCTGCCGCAAAGGGGCTGGGGATTAGGAATGGGGGATAAAGGAGATGATTGCTATTTTTGGCAGTAAAGTCAATGCTGTTCTCTCTGCACAATATAAAGAGCTGGCACTCCTAAAAGCCTCTCAGGGGTAATGTTGGGGTTCAAACCAGAGTACAGAGTGGTGAGATGGCAAGATTGAGCTTTAGGCCACCATGACTGTGCACAAAACTTGTAAGGACCGATGGGGTCAACCCAAGGAAAAAGAGAAAAATGCCTTCTGAGACTGATGGGTGAAATAGGGATGGAAGAAAGTTAATAAGCAATCATATGGATTACCTCTGTGCATTCATGAGCACAATCCAAGAAGCACTGCCTCTCTACATGCATTCACTGTGGCAAAGCCAGGTTCTGCAGTTGCCACAGGGAGGGCTGACTTTCAAAGAGCCAGTGACAATGGCAGCTCTTTCAACTGTGCACCTGCAAGACCTTTAAAAACATCAGGTTGGATGAGAACCCAGATTACATGTTTGAACACAGGCTGTTGCCATGTTTCTGCAGTTATTATTTTGTCTTTCTGGTATGACAGAAATTTAGAAGAAATGCATGGATTTTAAAATTATGACAGACGAGATAGACATCTGGTATGGCATTGCAATTGTTTCAAGAAAAGGTGGTTTAAGATGTAAAAATATTATGCAATTTTTTTTTCAAGTGACTGAAGTTTTTTTGGGACATTTTGTTATTTACTTACAATATACAGAATAATTTTGAATCTATTTATAATGATTGATTTTCACTGATAATGAAGTTTTACTCAACTCAAACTGTAAGGAGGATCTCCTTTTTCTATCTTTTAATGTTTTTAATGTGACACAAAAATTATAGACAAAAGCCTCATTATGCATGTATGTGAAAAGAAAAGTGGATAGGAAAGAGAGATTACAGTCACTTAATCTGTAACACTTACACTAGTTTAAAATTAGAAAGCTATAACTAATTATCTCATTTGCAAAGATTGAGCAAAATCTTACCAAATATCCATGACAGAGTCTAATTTATCATGTATCTCATATGGTATCTTTTCCATAATAGGTAAATCAATGAGACCCAAGTGCCAGTCATTGATCTAATGGACAGATGGTGATTTCCATTTGATAAGGATTAAAGTTTTGGCAACGAGGATGGCTAGAAGTATCAATTTTTCTTGTGGTGAAGAGATTGTTGAGAATTGCCTTCAAATATTTGTACTGTTAATAAAGGTTGTGTTTTTGTATACAGAGAAGCTAGCCCTGCTTCTCACAGCCACTGCTGCTTGTGCTTGTCAAGTCACTGAGCCGCAGTGAAAATGCTCCACATTCAGCTTTGCACAAAGTGCACAGTGGGGTTTAAGGTGTTTGTTGTTTGCATGGAGCAAGAATTTGCTATCTGATGTGCTGTGTAGGCAGGTGAGAGCATCTTTGAAAGTTGGCAACCTCATGAGGAGGCTTGATAAGTGTTTTTTTTTTAAATGCACTTTGTCATTCAGGCTCTAGCAAGACAGTCCCTCTGACATTAAAGGACTACTGATGACATCCCAGGTGTCTGGATCCATATTACACGGAGGGCTGCTGCACACTGAGGAGGTGACTGGATCACTGAGCTTTTTCAGCCAGGCAAGTAATGGCTCTGTCTGGCCCCAAATTTCTGTGTGCAGGCCCTAACAGGAATTTTCCCAGAGTAAAAGAATAAATCTTGAGTGTCCCACTAGACAAAGATTTTTATCTTCACCAACTGCCACTGATTTGCTTGTACTCTCTGGTTGGATTGCAGCATGGAAGCCCACAAAATGAACTTCCAGTATTCTTTTGGAGGAGTCTTTCACTGGGGTCATTGGTTACAGGCGCTTTAGAGGCAAAAAGTGCTTGTTTCTGAAGTCGTTGATGTGGTATGTCCTAGCTAGCATCTCTCTAGGAAACAAAGGAAATCATGACACTTTCTTTGTGTGATTTCCCACAAAAAAAAAAAAAAATTGAGAAATGAAGAAGCAACAGGAGAAAATGTTTCACAATGTATTTTGTTTCCTTCTGCTCTTACTTTTACACTTCTGCTGCTTTTACTGCTGTAAGTTCTCTCAATGACTCTGGTCCCTGTCAGGTTTTAGAGCTTCAGCCATAAGCCAGGACACTGGAAATAGGTCCTGGACAAACACCTGATGGAAAGTAATAATAGTTAAAACAATCCCAAAATGTTCCTGCCCCAAGGATATTGCAACCTAAGGAATAATGTACTTGCTGTGTTCACTTCTAGTGAGGTGCTAACTCAAGATTATCTTTGTGACTATATGATTTTCCACAGAGCTACAAGGCAAGCTTTCTTTTTGAGTAGAGAAAGTCTAAAGTGTACCTATATTTCAAGAGTGAAATAGGTGGTAATAATAGATACATAATGACAAGAGAGTAAACAATAGCCTGATATCTGCTAGGATGGTCAGTCATACATGTATGACAATTAATCTTTAAACAGCTCTGGTAAAGTCTCAGTTTAAATCCAAAGGAGAAAAAGCTCAACAAAGAATCTGTAAGAATTCTGTATTGCATTGGATTTGGGCAAAGAAAAATCATATATAAAAAGGCTGGAGCAAACAGTGAATTACAGTTACTGGAGTCTGCTCTGTCAGAGACTGTGTGGCTGTAATGTCTTCTGAGGCTGAAGAAGCACAGCTGGCACTGACAGCAGGGTCATAGGGTGCTGGTATTTATTATATAGTGAAATCTGCCTTAAATGAGCACACAAGGAAGCAATAGAAAAGATTGGTTAGCAGGAAAGACCACAAGCTGGACAAAATTGTACTTAACTTGGTGAGTATTTTAGAGAAGCCTGGTCAGACTCTACCAGTCAAGCTGGGGGATGTGCAGCAACACTGGTTTGGAGAGCAGCCTAACCAGTTCATATTTAGATCCTGACATTCATGTAAGTGGGGGCAGAAGATGCAGACAGGGAAAGGAGGTCTGCAGCTGGGGGCAGAATGGATTTCCTTTTCAATTCCTATTAATCCTGTTGCTAGCTTTTGTGCTACAACTCTGGGTTAGGATGAGAAGGAGGTGGAGGAATTTACTTTTTCTCCAAATAATGTACCCCAAAAACATCTAAATGAAAGTCAGTGCCTTGTTTGAGTGGGGGAACAGCATGCATATAGAAAGCCTGGATTAGTTGCTGTAAAATGAAAAAGAAAACTTGATAAAGGCATAGCTACAATTTTTTGGGGGTACATTTCTGTGTTGAAAGATGACTACAGGATGCTGTCTTCTTCTTGCTTTACCTTTTGCTCCTGCTGTCAAGCCATGTTAACCCAGAGGAGTCTTGTTTCCCTGCCACCCCTCCCACTATTCCCTGAAAAAAGGACTATATACCCTGAATTTCTTTCCTACCTCAGCCTGTCCCTTCCATCTCTTTTGAGGACACTCACCATAAGTGTAATTTTTACTGTGTGCATTTCCAAAATTTTCTTTTTTAAGAAATCTTAGGCTACAGAACAGGGTTGGGGTTTTTATTAGTTGGCAGAGGACGTGAAAAGCATTTTTGTTAAATACAACTGTATAGTGCTTGGAATTTTTTCTTACCAAATATGCAAAAGAACACAAGTTGTCCTGTGAGTGTCACAGCTTATTGAGTTTGATTTCCTACAGATTTGTATCCCGTTTCCTTCCCTCACTCCCACTACAATAGTTCTGTCTCCCTCTGTAAACCCTCTGACATCTGTCAGGCAAGAAATAACACACACCCTGGCTAATCTGGATCCATGCATATGCAGATTGGGCAGCTGGCTACTACCAAGACACATAACATATCACATCCGAGTTCTTCCTGCTCTCTTTTCAATGGGGTTTTCATGCTGAGTCTCTCTCCACTTCCCAGCTGCAGATTATAAAAAAATGCAGTTAATTGTCTCTAAGACTTCTGCTTGTCTTTCAAATTGTAGTTAAATTTCCTAACAGACTAAAAAGTTATAAAGTAGACTGACTGGCAGAAAAGTGGAGAAGTAGAAGGACAGAAGCTCCATTTTCTTGGAAAACCAGCCTGAAATATTTCATTTAGATCATTCTCTTTAAGGATAATACAGTACTTTGCTTTACTTTCTCCTATGGCACAAACAGAAATTGTGAAAGTCTGAATCCCAAATCAGCTTCAGAAGATGGCATCCATGTCCCGTTACCCCAGGTTGTAGTCACTTTTCTCTGTACCAGGAACCAAGCTTCTTCAGCCTCTCTAGGAACAGCAGTTGTTTTAGGTAGGGATTTCTCTGCTTCATTGTTGACACTTTCACTCCAGACTGCCTGAGGTGTCATTCAGTGAGGCAGGAACTGATTCTTGGGTGATGATCCCTGTCACCACACCAGAGAAACATAAACTAGTATCAGTTTGATAGCTCTGGTATCTATTTCAGTATTGAAAACAAAAGTCGGACAGCACTGACTGATAAGTCAAGTGTACATCATGCCAGTTGTTTGAAAACAGAAGCACCTGGATTCTCTTTCCTTCTTTGCCTACTGCAGGCATGAAGTAGGATCCTGAGCTAGTGCCTAACTCTTCAAGCTGTTCTGGCTTTTACACTGAAACCCAGAGCATAATTCTTGCTTGTATTTTAGCCTAATTTGCTGAGAACATCATGGGGCTAGAAGTTTTAGATGGCTTTCTTGCTATGTCTTAGTAAGGATTAAAGTGCAATACATTTAGCTGTGAAGACTCTCCAAAGAGCATCTGCAGAACACATGAAACCTACATATAGATTTACTTCAAAGGCTCTAATTTTTCAAAATTCAAGCAAATTTTTAATGGTGGGAACAATAGGTACATGTTTTATTCCCAACAAATTGTCTCAGACAAGCGTCAAGTACCTGCCTGAAAGGTTACATAATTGAACTGTTTTTAAACCATTAGACCTACCTGACTTATAAAAACATATTTTTCACTAGCATTCTCTTCAGAAATGATCTGCCAGTTTTAACTGAAACC